TTCCTGCTGCAACTAGAGGGGCTGTATATTCCGATTGCCTTGGGACAGTCCAGTTTATTGTAGTTGTCCCAGAGTACTTGTTAAGAGCATTCCTTTTCACTCTCTAGAGGTGTCCCAGTTTGGATAGTGTGTTAATATTGTCCTGTTCACACAATAACCACGCTCTCACTCTGGCTCCACCATGGCTGGGGGACTACAAGCAAGTCACTCCATTGCAAAGCACAGTGTTTGTCAAATATTCATAGCAACCAAATGCCTTCTCAAATGAAAACTCACTACAAAAACCCCAACGTAAGCAACGATTCGGAGTAGCATTTTACTCGTAAAAATTTCTTTCCTACGTTCAAATTAGTGTTTACGTACAAAGCAGTTGATTCTCACTGAGGCTGTTGAGATGGACACACACATTTTAAGCCAGAAGTTGTAGCTGAAATCTTAGTCACATCCACTTTATTTCCACATTGGGTAAACCCCGGATTCACAGAAGACGTGGTGGCAAAGAGTAGCTATTTTTTCAAGGGCTCCTTTCACAATCTAAGTTAAATAGAGATGGCAGGAGAATCCTACGTTAGTTGTGTCCAACACCTTAAAAAACTGCTACCTAACATTTATTTTAAAATTACAGTTATAGGGCTTCCCTGGTGGCGCAGTGGTTGAGAGTCCGCCTGCCGATGCAAGGGACACGGGTTCGTGCCTCGGTCCGGGAAGATCCCACGTGCTGCGGAGCGGCTGGGCCCGTGAGCCATGGCAGCTGAGCCTGCGCGTCTGGAGCCTGTGCTCTGCAACGGGAGAGGCGGCGGAGCGGCGGGGCCCGTGAGCCATGGCAGCTGAGCCTGCGCGTCTGGAGCCTGTGCTCTGCAACGGGAGAGGCCACAACAGTGAGAGGCCCGCGTACCGCGAAAAAACAAAAACAAAAACAAAAATGAAAAAACATAAAATTACAGTTATAAAATATTTTTTAATAGAATTTGATGCTAAGTAACGTTCGCAGAACTGTCAAAGCCCTCATTGGAACACTCGTTTGAGAAACAACTGAATGAGAGTCAGGTCACATGCAGCTCAAAAGCTTCTGTTTCTAAGGTTGTTTTTTCTGAAACTCTTGTCTGGAATCCAATGGGAGGAGGGGAAGGAAGGAAGAGCACCTTGAAGGTTTGGACTCTACTATCCATATGGCAAAAGACCCAGAAGCAAGTGGGGCTTTTAGAAGGCTGCAGACAAAGAAGAAAGAGCCATTTAAGTGGAGCGCAAACAGTGGGACTGTTGAACTTGCACAAGGCAGAAATGGTCCAAAAGCACAGCAGGGAGATGTCGGTAACTTTCCATCTGCTTCCCAGACCCTCCAGTTTTTAAGATAAAAAGTATCATTATTCTCAAAGTGCGGGAGCCAGGGAGTAGAGATGGAAGAATGATAACAGGTTTACTGTTTTAATGCCAAGTTGGGTCATGAGTCAGCTCAGGAACTAGAGACATGGGCCAAATGTGCCTATAAGTGTACATTTGAGCCAATTGCCAACTTTAAAAAATGAGAACGTTTCTCATAAAAGTTTGGATTTCTGGCTTTACTTATGACAACAGGAAGCTCTGGCACCAGTAGGCTGCTTTCCCCATGGTGATTCTGGGGTAGAGTCAAGGTACCCGTGTCTACCCAAGACACAGCAGTGCCCTCCATGTTCCCATTGCCATTATCACTCTCTGCTGGTCACCCAGGTGCACAGCAATCGTCTAGATTACTCGTTGGCCCCTGTGGGCATTTGAATGTGCCGCCCATGGAATTGATGTTTGTGCTTCTGAGTCTAAAATTAAAGTGAGGTGGTCCCAATAATAATTGGGACAGGAAGGCTCTGGGCTTTCATTTCTCAGAGTTCTTGCACCTCGGGCTCATGATTTTGAGCAAATCACAGCTACCGCTGCAAGGCTGTTTTTTCATCTCTGAAATGGATGCAGAAACTCCTGCCCTCCCTGATGTATGGACTGTGATAAGGATCAGACTATAGCACCTGGTGCTTTATAATCTATAAAGCTCTGTGGTCCACATTTGTGTTTTAGTTGGACTCACATCCATCCATCCCCCCTTGACCTGGTACAAGCACCCTAGTTTCCCTGGGGAATAGTCTCTCCCCTTCTCAGTCTACATGGTTGGGTGGTGTCGACTCCATCCTCAGCCTGGATGGGCATGGGGTCAGGCCCACCAATCAGAGTGTTGCATTCTTCCCAGAGATAGCTTTGTGTTCCAGGATGGGTGTATGAGCGAATTGGGGCTAATAGAACCAGGACTTCGGTTCAAACTGTTGCAAAAGGGAAACTCTCTTTTCTACTGAACTTTGCTGTCATGCTGCTAACTTGGGGGTGTTGGGTCTGTAAATGGAGCTGACAAGGAAGAGAAAAAAACAGAAAGATGGTAGGAAGCAAGGTCTGGGTCACATAATCGGAGGCTTTGGGTCCAGATATACATCAACACATACAGTCTTTTTGCTTCAGATTGAATGGGGCTAACTCACTGGAGACACAGGGGGGTTTTACACTAGCAGGCAGACTTGTGAGCATTTGTTTGATTTAGATTCATTTCCCTGGGCACTACCTGATCTTGAGTCCTGGAGTGCTCCTGCAGCAGCAGCCAGCTCTTCTCTCTGCCTGGGTTTGACCATCTACACTGCTCTTTTGAAGTTCTTGAGAGAGTCCTGTTGTGAGATTCTTGATGAAGGGCACTGGAAACGTTCACGGATGAGATAGGCACTTCTCATGGGGCAATGAAGCCGTTGCAGGTTGGGATGATTCTGTTCACCACGGCATGGACAAACTGGATGGCCAGCAGTGTGCCTCTCGGGGGAAGTGGAAGGGAGGGTACAACTGATAAAAATGTGGCCACAGAGATCCAATCTCACACATTGAGAGTTGGCTGCATGGGGTCAAATCTCTGCTATGCCCCTTACTAGCTTAGGCATGAAAGCCAACCTCTCAGAGTCCCTCTTGCTTCATCTGCAACATGGGAACAATAACTGAGCCTACCTGCTGAGGGGAATTCTGAAGATTTGAAGATGTCATGCATGTCAGGTGCTAACTATCAGTTTCAGCTAGAGCGAATTCAGTAAATATTATTATTGGAGGAGGAATGGGAAGACACGTTGTGAACCTGCACAGGATGGGCTTTTAAGGCCACAATCCACAGACCTCACCTTCTGAGCCATCATCTTTTGGCCAGGCATCTTTGTTACTCTGTATTAGACTACAATGTATTAGATTATAATGTATTCAATTATAATGATTCAATCACAATGTTTTCAGTTATACTGTATTCGATTACAGTGTATTCAACTCTACCTGATATTCACTCAGCCACTTACTTGCTTTGTGACCTTGGGAAAGTTCCTTAATCACTCTGAACTTCAGCTTCTTCATTTGTCAGATGGAGATAGCAATAGCTCCTAAACCCCTGCCAGTGTCATAAGCATTCCTTTCTCTATAGGAGAATGTGACAGAGGTGACCATGGGGACCAGGCAGACCAGCTTGAAACCACAGCCCACCCCATCTCTCAGAGCCTCAAATTTTGTAAAGTGGTGGTGCCTATTGAGAGAATTAAATGGCATGGTGACAGTACCCAGGACACAAGAAATGTTAACTCCTGTTACTATGTCCTTAGTGTCATATTGAACAGAGTGAGAGATGTGAGGTTTTCAAAGTGGTTGATCTTAAGATGCCCCAAACATTTACAGGGCCTAAGGAAAGAGAATGAATGAAGGTCAACATCCTATAAGATACAACGTGTGAACATTGCGAATCTAGCTAATAAACTATTAAATGAAGCATGTTCTATCCTTCTACACTGATGGATGTACCTTCAGAATCACCTGGAAGGTCGGGTTTGGGTTGAGGATTCTTGGGCTCCTCAGTTACATGCCAGAATGTAATGGTGTGGGAGAGCCCAGCTGTCTGTGGCTTGCCTGCTTCTCTTCCCACATCCAGCTCCATCTTATATCCCTAGGGGCCTCAGACACATACATGTGAACCCCCCAACCTAGCTCACACATCCAGACTCCATGCACACCACTCCAAGACCACCCTCCAAGTCTGGGGGTGTGTACACAAGAGGCACAGCCCACTTTCAGAAAGATAGTGCTGGGGAAGAGGCCTGCACAGGCCCTAAAGAGGGCTCCTGGGCAGGTGGGGAGGGTGTTCTGGAGTTCTGGGTACCCAGAGCATGGGTCTAGAGGAGGAGGTAAGCTCCCATTGGGTCTGTCCCCTGAGCCTGCAGATACTTCTCTAAGCAGAGGGACCCAGCTAGGGGAGGCTGGAGTGGGGCCCTCTAATGGCCAGGATCCAGAACAGAGTCCTTCATTTCCAGATCTAAGCTCAGTCCTACCTGCAAAGCAAAATGACTCACCATCCAGCACACTCCAGACAATTATGGAGTGATCTTTCAAGCCTGCGTAGATGTACTTGTCATCCTTGGAGAAGCAAGCACATTGGACTCCTCTACAGTAAGAATTCTGCTGAAAAAGGTAATGTGATCTTGATTTCAGACTGAAGGACACCTAGGAGTCCAGGCCCAAGGCACTCGTATGGGAAGCCAGACTTATAAGCACCTTTTGAGAGATGGATCAAGTTAAAACCTGGAAAGATGGGTAGCATCGATATTCCCAGGACCAAAACACATCTTCAAAGAGATTGGATTGAGAGGATTAGTGACATTTTGCACTGGAGAATGGGAATTATAGGGTTTAATTTCTTAAATGACCTTGGTTATACAAGTATTAGCTCCAATTGTATTTAATTAAAAGCTATATGCTAAATGCAATTTGGGATCCTAGAACAGAAAAAGAGAATTCGCTGAAAAACATATGATCCCAATAAAGTTGATAGCTAATGATATTATTCCCATGTTACTTTCTTAGTTTTGACAAACGTACTCTAGTTGCATAAGATGTTAATATCAGGGGAGGCTAGGTGAGGGGTAGGTAAATGGGAACATTTGCACTATCTTCACAACTTAATCTGTAAATCTAAAGTCATTCCAGGGACTTCCCTGGTGGTCCAGTGGTTGGGATTTCACCTTCCAATGCGGGGGGTGCGGGTTCGATCCCTGGTTGGGGAGCCAAGATCCCACATGCCTTGCAGCCAAGAAACCAAGACATGTAACAGAAGCAATGTTGCAACAAATTTGATAAAGACTTTAAAAAATGGTCCCCATAAAAAAAGATCTCAGAAAAAAATCGTTCCAAATTAGGTTTTATTTTTTAAAAAAACCCAAAAATGCTGTGGTGACATTTCCCATCTCAACTAGGCAAAAGATTACTTACATCTGAGGCTTATAGTGGCTTCATAAAAATAAATGTCAAGTGGGATGAAGGCTTTTTAAGACAAAACTATACATATTCTGTTCTCTTAGTTACAAGATCGTCTCCCTTAGTTTATTAACAATTTTTATATCTTGCAACCTAAGGTATAATCTTTGTTCTCCATCTGAGAAACTGGAATAATAGCAACAACCTTACAAGATTGTTGTGAGGATTAAATTATAGAATGATATTTTAATATGTATATTTTGCATAATATACATAATATGAATTTGTAAATATATAATACAGCTCTTAATCATATTGATACAAAAATTATAACTCCTTACGAGATGGACAGTGCAAACTGTCTTAGATACTTTGTATGAAAAGAAGTCACCAGCTTCCCTTTTCAGAGCCTTCACGGTTGCTGTTCCTTCTGCCTAGAATGCTGTTCCACCAGACTTATCTGACCTTCTTAAATAGCAGCCCTTGCCCATCTCTACCTCTCTTTATCTTGCCCTATTTTTCTTCAAAGCCCTTGTTGCACCCCAACCATCATGTATTTGTTGCTTTGTTTTTATTTCACAGACATTTAATGGTGAAGAGCTCTCTTAGGGACAGGGGCCACCTAAGTGAACAAAACACACAAAAATCCTGCCTTCCCAGAGCTCACAGTGTCTCCCCTACTAGAATGTGGCTCCACACTGTCTGCCCTGGTCACAGATACTTCCTCGGCACTAGAAAGAGCCCGGCATAAGTTGTACAATCAAAACATTTGGGTGAAAGAAAGGCCAGTCAGGATTAGGGCTGTGCCAGTGCAGGATTTGATCCTGTCTTTATTTTAAATATTGATATTTTGTTCTTTGTGGATTTTTGCATTTATTTTGATTTTTTTAAACACTGCACTAAAATATCTCTCTGGATGGCCAAGGTTTTTGGCAGCCCTTAAACTGTGTTCTAGAGGCGAGGACTTCTCACTTGACTCACCATAGCCCCGACCCTGGTTGGTGGCACCTGGCATGCACTTAATAAATGATGCCTGTCATCAGTTTTCTAATGCCAGAACCTAGCGTGTACGTGGTGGGGATGGGCTACTCACCGTGTAGCTCATCTCAAATTTTCACTTGCATGCCTGAAGGTCCCAGAGACACAGCAGGGCTTCCTCGGACCCACTGACTGCCAGCTGCTCTTTGTGGCTGACCTTCACACAGGTGACTCGGCTCCCGTGGGCCTCCAGAAGGAACACCTTGGAATTCGCACATTCATAAAGGAAGAGGTGTCTGTTGGTCATGCCATAGATCACACGGTAGTCAGCTAGAACAGCCACGCTTGCTATGGTGTCAGGCAGCTGGGTATAGAAGGTGTAGGTTGGCCTGTCGATGACTGGACAGGGGTCCCCGGGGCTGATGTCCAGCACCAGGACGATGTTGTCATAGGCGATGGCCAGGTGCCCCTCGTCCTTACTAATGGCCATGCAGTTGATGGCTTTCTGGGCTTCTGGAGGAGGGATGCACATCACATCCTGTCTGGAATTCAGTGGGAACACCAGGACGATCCCCAAAACGAGGCCGGTGAAAAGGAGATTGGCCTGCTCAGCGACCTCCAGACACCTGACCTCATTAGAGGTGTCCAGGGCATCTTGCTTCCCGCCTGCCATGGGAAGAAGACTGAATCAAGACCAGATCACACGGATGCTGGTTCCAAATTTTAAGGATTTTAAAAAATGCTTTCATTACCCATCCTCTTCAACTTGGCTACTGCCAGTTTCCCTGCTTCCACTCTTGCCCGCCAATCATCCAAGCTTTAAAAAATGAAAATCGCAGCATCTCACTGCCTTGCCTAACACCCTCCGAAGACTTCTCACTCCCCTCAGAACAGAGCAAATGTACGTGCTTTTCCCTGGTGTTCATGGCCTCACGTGACCTCTCATCCCAAATGTTTCCTTTTACCAACTTCTGTAAGGGACGGGAGAGTAATATTTTTGCCTTGTAGGCGGTATACTCTCTGCTATAGCCACTTAACCTCGCTGGTGTAGCCCCCAAAGCAGCCAAAAACACTATGTAAACAAATGGGTGTGTCTAGATTTGGCCCTTGGTCTGTAGTTTGCTGACTCCTGTCTCATCGCCCTCCACCTGCTCTATTTCTTTGCATCTTGCTCTGCCCCATAACTAGCAGGCAAGCACCTCAAAATTTGTAACCTCATCTGTCTTGTTCACTGCTAACTCCCAGAGCTCAGCCACGAGGCTAGCGCTAAACAAATGTCTGTCAAATCCAGACATGAACCTGAGAGCAAATTTCTTTTCTCATATTATTTTATCATTAATGAGGAATTTCTACACCTCCACCCACCCAGTGGGGATTGAGCAGATACTATTGGTGACATGCCCAGACCCCCTTTACCGGTCAGTTCACCCAGATCCAAGGCCTCCTAGAGCCACTGATTGAAGGAAACACCTCATTTGGAAATGCCTGGGGGCTGTGCCCCCCACCCAGGATTGCACCAGGCCAAGGACTGCCTGATATGGGAGTGAAAAGTCTGGCCCCCTTGCTTCACGATGGGACAACTGTGAAGTAAATTTCACCCTCCAGGGCTCCTCATGGGGTCAGGCTGAGTCCACCTCCATGCTCAGTCCTGCCCTGCCCAGCTGCCTTTCTCCCTCCTGGGAGCTCCCCTCTATACGCTACTTGTGCAAATATCCCCATCAGGAGCCCTACCTCCAGGGAAGCCTCAACTGAAGTAGGAATTGACCACCAGATAATCGATTACTGTATGCTGGAAATTTATAAAATCAGGTCCTGTTTTCTCTTAGCCACTTTTAACCTAACTGGAGTGGGGTGTCGTGGACTGAATGTTTGTGTCCCACCCCAAAATTCATGTTGAAGTCCTAACCCGGAATGTGATGGTATTAGGAGGTGGGGCCTTTGGAAGGTGATTAGGTCATGAGGGTGGAGCCCCCGTTAATGGGATTGGTGCTCTTATCAAAGGAGACATGAGAGCTTGCTTCTTTCTCTGCTTTCTGCCATGTGAGGATGCAATGAGAATGTGTCCGTCTGCGAACCAGGAAGTGGCCTCTCAACAGACACCAATCTGCCAGTGCCTTGATCTAGAGGAAAAGTGTAGAGACTTTCCAGCCTCTAGAACCATGAGAAATAAGTGTCTGCTGTTTAATCTGCCCCCCTCTCCATTGATGGTGTTTTGTTATAAGAGCCCAAACAGACCTAGACAGGGGTTTCAATTCTTACCCACACAAATGACTGTGCTTATATCTTACAAACCTTCTGCCAAGTCCCAAATGGTGACTTTGGTTTTGTCCCCAATTTTAGGGAAGTAAACATAGCTTCCAATGTGTGACACTGTAGTGAGGCCAGTGTGGTCTAGAAACGGGGTAGAGGCCCTTGGCTTCTGAGCATGGGTGAGATCCCAGACTTTAAAAGATGAGGACTGATGGGAAGCAGATGCCACCAAGGGCCACCCCGAGTCAGCAGGCTCACGGGGGCCCCGACGCCTTCCAAGATGTCTAGCAGACTCCCCTGCTCTGATAGACTCCACACCTCAGGATGGAAGCAGAGGGGCAGAGCTGACTTCTTATGCTGCCGTAGCTCGGAAACAGGCTTAAATTCATCTGTCCACCTAAGGTAAACTTTTAGGCTGTAGTTCGAGGGCCTTCACATCTCCTCACTCCCTCAAACTTCCTTACATCTCACTAATCAGCTACCATAGCAGTTCTCAAAGTGTGTTCCAGGGAACCCCTGGAAGGTACCACCCTGGGTGGTTCTGCAAAAGAGGGTTTTCAGGGAGTTCTGTAAAAGCAAAATTATTTTCACAATAATTTAAGAAGTCACTTGCCTTCTTCCACCCTCTTACTCTCATAAGCAAGCAGTGGAGTCTTCCAGAAGCTATGGTACATGTTTATCACAACAGATAGGAGAATGCAGAATCAAATATGACACTCCTTCTAGTAAGCCAGAAAGAGGCATGCCAAAATGTTGAAACGATGACACACTTCTCAAGATTTTTTTGTTTTTTTCAGAAAATATAGGTTTTTTTCATAAGAGTATTTATTATGTTGACATGTTATGTTAATGAATTAATGCAGAAGTATTTTTAGATTTTGCCATTTAAAAATTGTAATATGGGACTTCCCTGGTGGCACAGTGGTTAAGAATCTGCCTGCCAATTCAGGGGATGCAGGTTTGATCCTTGGTCCAGGAAGATCCCACATATCGGGAGCGACTAAGCCCATGTGCCACAACTACTGAGCCTGTGTGACACAACTATTGAAGCCCACATGCCTAGAGCCCATGTTCTGTAACAAGAGAAGCCACCACAGTGAGAAGCCCACGCACTGCAATGAAGAGTAGCCCCCGCTCGCCGCAACTAGAAGAACCAATGCAGCCAAAAATAAATAAATTTATAAAAATAAAAAAAATTGTAATATGGCAATTATCAATAGATACTAAATGCAAGACAGGATTTGGAAAATGGCATTTGTGGGAAAAATAGTGAAATAGAATCAAAGCCTGTAGATGAGTTAATAATACTGTCCCAAAGTGAATTTCTTGGTTTTGGTAATGGGATCAATGTGATATGAGATGTTAACATTGGGGGAAGCTGGATGAAGAGTAGATATCTATGTCTATATCTATATCTATATATCTGTATCTATCTATCTATATATATACCCTCTGTGCTCTCTTTGCAACTCTTCTGTAAATCCTAAAACCATTCCAAAATAGATAATTTGTTAAAAAATATATGAATCATATTGATATAACCCACATAAATGAAAGCTCCTTGAGGATTCTCAATAATTTTTAAAAATCTAAAGAGGTCCTAAGACCAGAATGTTGGAAAGTTATCACATGCTTTTCTCCCTAGCTTGGAGAGCTTTGAGCTTAACAGGAATTTTCCTCCCCTCTACATATCCCTGCTCCACTCTGAAGGCCAAAATCTTCCCAGTATTTCAAGTTTAGTGGGAATGCTATAACCTTCATTGAATATTTTGGTAATTCCCCTCAGGTCTGTCTCTGGGTCCCAGGAGACACCCCCATATCTGGCCCAATGACCTGCTCTGTTTTGCCCGCACTAGTTTTTACAGGTTTCTGTATTTTGAAGCCAAAAGATCCCTAAAGAATCATACTTTCTATTCTGGAGGTGGAGGTGAGGATGATGGGATATGCATCTCCCCCTTACCTTAATGAGTGCACCCTGGGACCCAGTGACAATCAGATTGTTTTCAGGACCAGAAATGGCCATCTCCACCATGTCTTCATGTTCAAGGTCGGTGCCCGTGAATCGATGAAACCCCTGTGAGTCTGCCGAGAATATCCGCATGGATCTTCCAAAACCTAAAATGGCAAAGACAGGGATTACATGTTTCACTCCTTGAGGAGCTTGAGAGTAATTCAATTCAATCAACAAAGATTTTTTTGGAGCACCTACTATGTGCAGGTGGAACGAATACAGGGGTGAAAAAGATAGGCAAGGCCCCCATCCTCACAGAGCCTACAGTTGGGGGGATGGGGGCACAACAGTGATCAATAATCTCTCAGAAAACAGTGGTTATTTTTTTTTATTTACTTTATTTATTTATTTTTGGCTCCATTGGTCTTCGTTGCTGCACGAGGGCCTTCTATAGTTGCAGTGAGTGAGGGCTACTATTCATTGCAGTGTGCAGGCTTCTCATTGCGGTGGCTTCTCTTGCTGTGGAGCATGGGCTCTAGGCACGTGGGCTTCAGTAGTTGCGGCATGCGGGCTCAAGTAGCTGTGGCTCATGGGCTCTAGAGAACAGGGTCAGTAGTTGTGGCACATGGGCATGGTTGCTCCACGTCACGTGGGATCTTCCTGGACAAGGGATCAAACCCGTGTCCCCTGCATTGGCAGGTGGATTCTTAATCACTGTGCCACCAGGGAAGCCCAGTAAAGTTATTTATTATCACAAGACTATGAGTTTCCAGAGGGCAGGTTCTGCCTGTTTGGGTGGCTTCTGGTCTCCCAGAACCCACCACAAAGCTGGACACAGAGTAATATGTTTTGAAGATGGAAGGAAGGGTGGGAGGGCAGGAGGAAGGAAGGAAAATAAAATGATTACAGTTTGTGAAAAGGGCAATGAAGTCAGGGACTGGATGCCATGAGAAAAAAGGACATAGAAACACACAGAGTGGAGCAGGCAACGTGAAGATGGAGGCAGAGACTGGAGGAGGTGGCCACAAGCCAAGGAATCCTGGCAGAAGCTGGAAGAGGCAGGAAAGAAAAAAATAAGGTACTTCTGGCACACAACCCACCACCACCATCTTGAATCCAGGTGTCGGTGCTGTTTCACACTAGGAACTCCAGTCTTAAGTGTTGGGTGCAAGGACTCTGCATGCGGCACCATCTGAGCAAGCGAAACTAGATCAAGCACAAAGAAAAGAAAAAGTGGCAGCATAACAGAGTGGTTCAGAAATGCTGATGGATGCTGGAGCCACATGGCTGGCTTGATATCACAGCTGGACATTACTTACAGGACGTGTGATATTGGGCAGCTACTTGACTCATCTAATCTTCAAGCAGCCCTATGTCTTCCTATCCTGCTAACTGAAAGCAGCCTATGAGGATGAAGTTGGGTGTTATCGAGTGCCTCTTCACGCTGGGCTTATACTAGGTGCATTATCTAGTTTAACCTTCTTGACAACTCTGTAAGAATTCCAAGGTTTTTGCATAAGCAATCTTATTATCCATCAGTAGTGTGCAAAACTGTCAAAGTGAAGCAGAGAGAGACCTTCAAGATGGCGGAGGAGTAAGACGTGGAGATCACCTTCCTCCCCACAAATACATCAGAAATACATCTACAAGTGGAACAACTCCTGAACAACAGAACAGCTACTGAACGCTGGCAGAAGACCTCAGACTTCCCAAAAGCCGTGTGACTGACAGGGTCTTGCTGCTCCAGCTAGGTGTCAGGCCTGTGCCACTGAGGTGGGAGAGCCAAGTTCAGGACATTGGTCCACCAGAGACCTCCCAGCTTCACATAATATCAAATGGTGAAAGCTCTCTCAGAGATCTCCATCTCAATGCTAAGACCCAGCTCCACTCAACAATCAACAAGCTACAGTGCTGGACACCTTATGCCAAACAACTACCAAGACAGGAACACAACCCCACACATTAGCAGAGAGGCTGCCTAAAATCATAATAAGGTCACAGACACCCCAAAACACACCACCGGACGTGGTCCCACCCACCAGAAAGACAAGATCCAGCCTCATCCACCAGAACACAGGCACCAGTCCCCTCCACCAGGAAGCCTACACAACCCACTGAACCAACCTTAACCACTGGGGGCAGACACCAAAAACAACAGGAACTACAAACCTGTAGCCTGTGAAAAGGAGACCCAAACACAGTAAGTAAAGCAAAATGAGAAGTCAGAGAAACACACAGCAGATGAAGGAGCAAGGTAAAAACCCACCAGATCAAACACATGAAGAGGAAACAGGCAGTCTACCTGAAAAAGAATTCAGAGTAATGACAGTAAAGATAATCCCAAATCTTGGAAATAGAATGGAGAAAATACAAGAAACATTTAACAAGGACCTAGAAGAACTAAAGAGCAAACAAACAATGATGAACAACACAATAAATTAAATTTAAAATTCTCTAGAAGGAATCAATAGCAGAATAACTGAGGCAGAAGAACGGATAAGTGACCTGGAAGATAAAATAGTGGAAATAACTACTGCAGAGCAGAATAAAGAAAAAAGAATGAAAAGAATTGAGGACAGTCTTAGAGACCTCTGGGACAACATTAAACGCACAAACATTTGAATTATCAGGGTCCCAGAAGAAAAAGAGAAAAAGAAAGGGATTGAGAAAATATTTGAAGACATTATAGTTGAAAATTTCCCTAATACGGGAAAGGAAATAGTCAATCAAGTCCAGGAAGTGCAGAGAGTCCCATACAGGATTAATCCAAGGAGAAACACACCAAGACACATATTAATCAAGCTATCAAAAATTGAATACAATGAAAAAATATTAAAAGCAGCAAGGGAAAAACAATAAATAACATACAAGGGAATCACCATAAGGTTAGCAACTGATCTTTCAGCAGAAACTCTGCAAGCCAAGAGGGAGTAGCAGGACATAATTAAAGTGATGAAAGTGAAAAACCTACAACCAAAATTACTCTACCCAGTAAGGATCTCATTCAGATTCGAAGGAGAGATTAAAACCTTTACAGACAAGCAAAAGCTAAGAGAATTCAGCGCCACAAAAACAGCTTTACAACAAATGCTAAAGGAACTTCTCTAGGCAGGAAACACAAGAGAAGGAAAAGACCTCCAATAACAAACCCCAAACAATTAAGAAAATGGTAATAGGAACATACATATCGATAATTACCTTAAATGTAAATGGATTAAATGCTCCCACCAAAAGACACAGAATAGATGAATGAATACAACAACAAGACCTGTATATATGCTGTCTACAAAAGACCCTCCTCAGACCTAGGGACACATACAGACTGAAAGTGTGGAGATGGAAAAGATATCCCATGCAAATGGAAATCAAAAGAAAGCTGGAGTAGCAATTCTCATATCAGACAAAATAGACTTTAAAATAAAGACTATTACAAGAGACAAAGAAGGACGCTACATAATGATTAAGGGATCAATCCAAGAAGAAGATATAACAATTGTAAATATTTATGCACCCAACATAGGAGCACCTCAATACATAAGTCAAATACTAACAGCCATAAAAGGGGAAATCGACAGTAACACAATCATAGTAGAGGACTTTAGCACCCCACTTTCACCAATGGACAGGTCATCCAAAATGAAAATACATAAGGAAACACAAGCTTTAAATGATACATTAAACAAGATGGACTTAATTGATATTTATAGGACATTCCATCCAAAAACAGCAGAATATACTTTCTTCTCAAGTGCTCATGGAACATTCTCCAGGATAGATCATATCTTGGGTCACAAATCAAACCTTGGTAAATTTAAGAAAATTGAAATCATATCAAGTATCTTTTCTGACCACAATGCTATGAGACTAGATATCAATTACAGGAAAAAAATCTGTAAAAAATACAAACACATGGAAGCCAAACAATACACTACTTAATAACCAAGAGGTCACTGAAGAAATCAAAGAGGAAATCAAAAAATACCTAGAGACCAATGACAATGAAAACACGATGACCCAAAACGTATGGGATGCAGCAAAAGCAGTTCTAAGGGGGAAGTTTATAGCAATACAATCCTACCTCAAGAAACAAGAAACATCTCAAATAAACAACCTAACCTTACACTGAAAGCAATTAGAGAAAGAAGAACAGAAAGATCCCAAAGTTAGCAGAAGGAAAGAAATGATAAATATCACATCAGAAATAAAAGAAATGAAGGAAATGATAGCAAAGATCAATAAAACTAAAAGCTGTTCTTTGAGAAGATAAACAAAATAGATAAACTGTTAGCCAGACTCATCAAGGAAAAAAGGGAGAAGACTCCAATCAACAGAATTAGAAATGAAAAAGAAGTAACAACTGACACTGCAGAAATACAAAGGATCATGAGAGATTACTACAAGCAACTCTATGCCAATAAAAACTGGAAGGAATGGACAAATTCTTAGAAAAGCACAACCTTCCAAGACTGAACCAGGAAGAAACAGAAAATATAAACAGACCATTCACAAGCACTGAAATTGAGACTGTGATTAAAAATCTTCCTACAAACAAAAGTCCAGGACCAGATGGCTTCACAGAAGAATTCTATCAAACATTTAACGAAGTGCTAACAACTATCCTTCTCAAACTCTTCCAAAATATAGCAGGGGGAGGAACACTCCCAAACTCATTCTACGAGGCAACCATCACCCTGATACCAAAACCAGACAAGGATGTCACAAAGAAAGAAAACTACAAGCCAATATCACTGATGAACATAGATGCAAAAATCCTCAACAAAATACTAGCAAACAGAATCTAACAGCACATTAAAAGGATCATACACCATGATTAAGTGGGGTTTATCCCAGGAATGCAAGGATTCTTCAATATATGCAAATCAATCAATGTTATACACCATATTAACTAATTGAAGGAGAAAAATCATATAAATATCTCAATAGATGCAGAAAAATTTTCAACAAAATTCAACATGCATTTATGATAAAAACCCTCCAGAAAGTAGGCATAGAGGGAACTTACCTCAACATAATAAAGGCCATATATGACAAACCCACAGCCAACATCGTTCTCAATGGTGAAAAACTGAAACCATTTCCTCTAAGATCAGGAAGAAGACAAGTTTGCCCACTCTCACCACTATTATTCAACATAGTTTTGGAA